AATATCTTCAAACTAATGAAATATAAAGTTATTAGTGACAAAAATCTATCTGGATGACAGCAGACTGACTGCTCGTAAAATATACGACAGGTCTGGACCACTCGTGAATTTTGTTCATATCTGAAGAAAATCTTAGAATACGAATTAATTGGTGAATGCCACAAATTCTCCTAAATCACTCGTACGCACAACTTAAGAACAAATCTGTGCGTACGAACGGTTTTTGCATGAGGCCCAATATCTTTGTAAGTCTTCATAATGTCTACATTTCTCAAACTGAAAATATAGCCGTGAGTTCCTGCACAAGGTCAAAAGTACATTTTTCAAGCTAAACTCTGAGCTGAATGAAGAGCTTTGTGCCTGTGGCCTCTTCAGAAAGTCAACACCATCATCAATGCCCACTCATACATCGCGCTCACAGTAGAAGTGCCACAAGCAGTGAGAAATATACCTCTATTTTTATGCTTACTGTTTTACTTTCTGCTTTTGATGTTTTTTTATGCTCATTTCACCWGAGGTCTGAGTCAGTAACACAATTTCAATCTTTTGTATGTCCAGTACATTATGCAGATTTGACAATAAATCGACTTTGACACATAACCACTGACAAATTTTAGCATCAGATCTTATATTTTTACCTTCAGATACATCATCCTATCTGACACTCTTAGCACCTCTGCTAGATTCCTTGCAAACTCTTCCTTCAGGACCACCCCTGAATGATGCATTTCTCTTCCTAGCCACACCACCATAAAACAACTGAAACTCTGGCCCAATGCTGAGAGCCTATCCTTGAAATTTTTTGAGTCACGGTAGTTTTGTGTTATTTCRATTTTTATCATGGTTTGTTGTATATTCTCCTCTTGATTTATATATGTTTATAGCAAATTTTAAAAGCCAATTTTGTCTTTTCTTCATTTGGTAAATATTTATTGAGGCCCAGGCTTCTCTTGCAACAGAGATCTGTCATCTCAATGGGTTTTGCTTGGGTAAACAAAGGTCAATAAAATTACATATGGTAAAAGTTAATGTAATTAAATTAATTCCAGCTTCAAAGTTGAATTCTGATTAATAAAAATTTTAATAAATTTATTATCTATAGACTGGTTTCACATAAGGTTTACTGAACTTTTTAGCCAATAAATAGATGTGCACATGAGTTAATGATAACTTTAAATGCAATTTAATGAAAACCCTCACTTTCTCTTGTAACACGACTTTATGACAACTGTTTACAWTATAATTGTTTAAGTTACTGAATATTGTATACACATTGTACTACTGTATTCATCTTTACAGGAATGCCTGCAAACCTCAATGAAATGAGTCATAAAGATAAATGGACCAAAAGTCAAGTCTAGTCTGTTACATGCTTCAAGTTATTGCTGCTAAAAGAGGTTTTATAAGCTGTTGGATAATGCAGTGTTCATAGTTTTATTTGCAGTTTGGCTTTGTTTTGATTTGGTAGATAATGACATGGTTGAATCTGTTTTGTATTTTGTACATTTGAGGCTAGATTAGCTTTTTTTAAGATTCCGATAAAGACATGATCATTTTTATWGTGTACAGATAAATAAAAAATGAATTTTAAATATGGTGGACTTTCTTTTTCCCATGACTGTAGTAAATRATCAACTGTTGCTAAGTGATTAGGGGAGTTGTCACCCAATGAGAAAGTTGAGGGTTAGTTTATACAGCTAYTCAGTCACATGTCAAAGTATCTYCGGGAAAGACACTGAACCTCCACTGCCTCTAATACAGTATGTGTCCCATCAGTGTATGAATGTRATTTAAAGCACTGATTAGTCTCAACAGAGTTATATATTCAGAATATCTTYGTAGAGAAAAATAGTGCTGTGTGAATGTGTAAATGATGGCACAAATTGTAGTGTCACTTGAAGAATGTTTGTGGGCTGCTTGAYAACGCAAGCATTTTCTGAATTGAAATTATATGAAAGTTGAAAAGTTACAACCAGGCACAAAAATGATAAATTTTGTTAAATGATTTTGAGATGCATTTTATTTATAGTTACAGATAAAACACACACAGATGATATTAGGTATTGACAGTAGATGGTGGTTTTAAGAGCACTTGGCGTTGCAGCTACAGGCCAGGTGAGCCTGTGTGGTTTCTCTCAGGTCTACGCTTCTGTCAAAGATGTTGGTGTCAGAATCTGTAAAAAAGAGAACAAATCAGTTAGAAATAATGTTTTTGTTGTTTTATGTTCAATACATCTGTATGTTTAGTTTTAGACTCACCAACTGACTGACAGTTGAAACCAACGGTGACAGTGGTGGTTTTGGTGGGCATGCAGCCGGGCAGACAGCGTGGCACGGGCTCAACAGAGTAGCATTTAGCATCCTGACCGTGGAATTTAATTTTTTTCTCCAGGGGCACAGACTCAAGCTTCAGGTGGCACTCTGTAAGAGAATATTGTTGATTACATAACATGAAATGCATATGCAGTCATGAAAAAAAATAGAGTACTACAATGAACTTTGTTCTGCTAAAAGATAATTTCTTATTGTTCTTGATGTCTTACCAGAGGGATCTCTGCAGCTCTCAGATGGCAGAATCCAGGATTGAGCAAAGCTAATTGAGTTCTTGGCCACRCGTCCGTTAGGGGTGCGATACTCCTGTCTGACTTCCCCATCAGCCTTTCCACACAGTCCGCAGGTCTTGCCTCTCATCCAGTCCACAACTCGAATCTGTAATGTCAAAAGACATGAGAAACACTAAATATATAATGTATCTGGCACAAATGACATTGATGAAGGATGCAGATCCTTTGATTTCAAATGTAGTTATTTTATTTYCTAAAATAAAAAAGDGACACCATTTCTTTTACCTTCCATGTGTCCTCATCATAGTAGACTTCTTGGAGTCCATGGCTAGGTGCATATACAACAAGACCCTCTCCACTTCGCCTGATCTCAAYGGAGTCTGTAAAACAAGTTGAAATTTAAGGAAGCACATTAGTAATTTAGATGTCCTATATTAAAGTAAACATTAGTTCATTTTATAATAAAAAGTKGTTATATAAACCTGTCGGGTGACGGTATGGCAGGTTGGTTAAGGGGATTTCCATTTCGTTGACCTTCACAGTGACATYGTCRTCCTTTGTATACATGTCAATATCACTACAAGAAGAAAAGCAAACACCTCGTTTAGCTTAAACATCTTTTGGATAAGAACCAACAACTCATTGTAGTTTCATTGGAAACTTACATGTCAGCAATTTTGACATTTATGTGGTGTTGTTCCATTGAATCCTTCCTCAGGAGAACCATGAATTTCAGCTCCTCTGTGCAGTCCTGAGCCAAAATCTGGTAGCAAGATGAGGGCATCTTGTGTGTGTAGGTCCTGTTGTTGAAGGTGATCAGTTTATCGTTGATGTAGCTACATTCAACTGGGGAAGAAAAAATGGTTTAAAATTGCTGAAAATTTCCAGTATTTGTATTGAGTTTTAAACAGGAACATCAGCTTGTTACCTGCAACAGACTTGGCGACCATGAAGTGGATTTTGTCAATGATTTCATCAAAGGGGATTGAACTGTTGAGCTCCTCGAGTGGCACAGTTAAAGGAAGATGCAGGGTCATGTTGTAGGTAGTGTTCTGTGAGCAGAATAAGTTTCAGTGATTTAAAAATCATTAATGTGCTGTTTTAGCAGAACAGCATGAGTTCTCATACCATCGGTGTCTTTGTAATGAAATCAATGGTCCTGTTGGATGTTGCAGCCACAATGAAGGAGACGTTCCTGGTGCTGTTCTCACTCTTTACTTTAATCATGTCATCAAGGAATTTAACAGGAACGTATTCATGTACCCTAAAAATGYYAGTGTTAGATTTTTGAACATAATCTCCATGTAAATGATTTACAGCAGTTTTTGAGTGTTTCTTACTTCTTTCCATAGCGTCTGAGAGCAGATGGAAGTCTTTCCCAGGACAGTCTAAGGCGAGCTGCAAGGCTTGAACCAAGAAGGCCAGTTTCTCCAGTAACCATTGTGCTGTACTTCTTGCATTTAGGTCCCCAGGCAAGTTTAGCCTRTTAAAGAACAATAAACATTGGAATGACTCTCTTCATTTCATAGATAGACCTCTCATTTTGGTGCTATTCAAAAATATTTCCTTACTGTAACTTTGTGCTTGCTCAAAAGAACACCATCGGCGCACAACCTCCAGTTGTTCTCGGGAGCAAGAGGCACCAAAATGATTTGAACCCTGTAGGTTGGTTTGTCGAGGTAGACAGCAAGTTGGTATCCCTCCATGCTCTTATCGRCTTTAACAGTGCGGAAGATGACAGCCAAGATGGCRTCCTCATCATCAAGGGATTTGTTCTGYGGTAACAGATATGGATATTTAATACTTGTTCCCTATTAAAACCAATGAAAACATTTTTGTTGATCTTGTTTTTGATGACCACAATTTTTACCTTTTCATAGATTTCCTCAAAGCTGGCTTCGCTGTCCCTGCTTTCGGAATCCTGCATCAAGAATTTTTTGAGATTTGGTAAGTAAAAGCTAAACTCAAAGTTAAGARATGATGAATTTATTGAACAAATGCAACAGACCTTATCGTGGAACTTGTTGAAAGTTTCATTCACATGCTGTAGGGAAAAATATTGTCAAAATGCTGTATATTGAGTGTACAAATACTTGCAAAGTAAGAGAACAGAGATGTTTACCCATGAGACATAAGCACTAGAGCGAGAAGAACTTGAAGAACTTGAGCTAGCGCTGAAGAGTGACGCAAGGCTTGATGCAGAGCTGGTCCTGGATGAGCTGCTGACAGATGTTGAAGAGCTGAGTTTGTTGCTGCTGCTGCTGCTGCTACTGCTACTTTCCTTGCTGCTGCTGCTGCTGCTGCTGCTGCTGCTGCTGCTGCTGCTACTGCTGCTACTGCTGCTGCTGCTGCTG